CGGTGGGAAGGTGTGACATCACGGGGGGGGGAGAAGGCGGTGGGAAGGTGTGACATCACGGGGGGGGAGAAGGCGGTGGGAAGGTGTGACATCACAGGGGGAGAGGCGGTGGGAAGGTGTGACATCACAGGGGGAGAAGGCGGTGGGAAGGTGTGACATCACAGTGGGGGGAGAGGCAGTGGGAAGGTGTGACATCACGGGGTGAGGGGGAGAGGCGGTGGGAAGGCTGTGACATCCTGTGCGTGGTTCACCTGGCCGGCATCCAGGTAACAACGTGTTCCCACCTGCGCGTGCTACACAGCCAGCCAGCCTGGAGCCCACGGGGACAGGCCTCTCTGGGGAAGGAAGATGAGTGCCGCCACTCATCAGACACCTGGCGACGGGGGACAGATGACCCCCCCAGACACCGCATCCACACAGAGCCGGGCAGCCTTCAGCAAGGCGGATGCGCTCAGGCACTGGTAACCCAGGTGCTCAGATCTGTGTCTGCTTAAAATAATCCCCATCATGCAGGCATCTGGGCTCAGCCGATTCCAAGACAAGCAGGAGATCACCTACGATAGTCACGAAATGCCTTCCAATAGGCAAAGACGACGGAGATCGGAGGGAAGGAAGGGGCCAGAGAATGTTGGTGCGTGGAGGGAGCAAAGGGGAGGGAGACTATGACGGATGAGAATGGAGAAGGATGGAGAAGCGGGAGGCTGTTTTAAGTGGGAGAATACAGAAGGAAGTTGGCCTGGAGAAAAATAAGCAGCTCCACTGAGCGAGGTAGGATAATAAGACCACAAGTAGGAGACAATAGGCCGGCTCAGCAAGTGAAGCCGCACGGCGTGGTGAGTCGCCGACGATAAGGAAGGAGGAGAGAATGAATCACAAAAGACAAATTTAGTTTTGAGTTTGGGGCTTTAGAATTATGATATTAGTGACACAAGGTGGGAAGCCAGAGCAAAACTCGCTTCGGGTAAATGAATGTGTGAGGGAGACCAGCATGAAACTCCGGGGAAAATGACAAGCTGAAGGTAAGAAATCACAGCTCAGTGGAGAAGCAGAATTGGAAATGTGGGTTTAAGGTTTCACAGGCTTATCAAACAATCCCTGAGGTCTGTGACTGGTTGAATGTCTGAAGCACAATTAGAAGAGGTGAGGTCAGGTGCCATGATACCTATGTGTATAATACAGATACATGCACACACAGACCCACATATATACATATGTACACATAGCTCAGTGAGAGAATTCTTGCCAATAAGGAGCAAAATCTTGGATTTAAAGAGGAGGAGAGGAAGAGGAAGGAGGAGGAAGAAGATTAAAGGAAATAATAGAGAAACGAGGAAAATAGAGATGGCAAAATCAGGGAACTGAATGTATATGTACCCCAGGAACTGAGTCAGGAGCGAAACTTTACCCTGGTTAAAACAATCTCTGAAGAGTAATTGAAGGGAAAGTTCAAGAATGCAGTCACAATTTAGTTTATAGAGAGGAGTGGTGATGATCTTCGGCCATGATGATAGAATTTGCTAGATTGCTGCAGTAAGAAAAGGAACGTAGAGGTGCCCCTGTTGGTCTCTTGTTCACTTGCATGTTGCTTTTTGTCGTGAACCTAGGTTTCTGCATTTTAAGAAGCATTCAAGGAAGAAAGAACAAAGATTCATGAGAGCAATAAATGACACATCCCGATTCTTTGAAATAAGGTCTAACCTTCATATGACCTTGTTACAGATGAGTTCTGAACATGGCGTGAGGCCAGTGTCTACCACTATAAACATTAAGCATCAAATTGGTTAATCTGCATATTTTAACTGGAGAAGTACAATACAAAGTCTAAGCAGCTATGATGGTTGAGGCATTGTTTTGTGTGCTTCACCGAACTAGTCTGTCTTATCCTCATACTACTCTATCAGGGTGGAACTGCTGTAATTCCCATACAAAGCTGGGCAGAGCAGAGGCTGGAGTGCTGTATGGAAGAGGCGGGGTAGGGGCATCAACTCAGAGAGACTGAGGAGAAGCCTGCGGCTCTACGGGCGCTGTGACTCCTGGCAAAGATGGCCTGGATACGCAGAAGGGATGACTCTTTCTTCATGGGCTGGAGGAATAAGAGAAAGGTGATGTCATGGCTCACGGGAAGATGAGAGGGGAAATAGGTGATGTAATATTAGAGCTCTGGGAAGACAGAAAGGAGAGGAGGGGTCCGATGAGCCCTGAAAAGAGTACTGCAGAAGCAGCCGAAGCAGCAGAAGACTGAAACTTGAGATCAGGAAGACAGAGCCTAAAGATCAATAAATCAAGTACAAAACAACTCAAGTCAAGTCTGGGGTTCCCCAGGGAAGAAGGGGGAGACCTGAGCTCTCCGATGAGCCCACAGACAGATGTGTGAGGTCAGACTTGCAGTAAGGTGAGGGGTTTGGAAAAAGTTCATCTCGAAGGCAGCTCCTGTTTTACAATTCCAGGGAAAGATGTTTCAGGTGAAAATAAAATCTGATCAACTGGATACACATAGATAGTACTTTGTAGATCTTAGTAGAAGAAATAGAGATACAAGACTAAGCAACTGAATCATCCACTAATAAATACTGTCTGACTGAAGGGTAGGATCATAAAGACTTTGTACTATTACTTTAGGTCTAAATGGCTCTTTAAGAAATACCAGCACATCTCGCTCTGGAAGGCAGATTCTGTTATGAAGATTGTATGAGCCACAGACATGTCTTCCAGCCCACATAGCTTTCCCATTTTTAAAACTTTAATCAGGTCTCACTGTGTTTCCCAGCCTGGTCTTAAACTCCAAAGCAACTGGGAATACAGGGAATGCCACCATGCTCAGATTCACATGATGTTTAATAAAACTTTTGTTCCTCATAGCATGAATAAATAAAGGCTAAATAGGAATGAAATATGGATTCTGTCCTCAATGAACAAAACACCATGAAAATATCAAAAATAAGTTATTTCCTGTACTGCCATCTATAAATTAAATCATAACTCTCTCAGAGATGACAGTTTATAAGGAAAAATGCCTACCTTATTATCAGAATTAACTATCCCTAATAACTAAATGTTTTTCATAAATATGGGCAAACACTAAATACTAGAGAATTTCAAGCAATATAAAAACATTTTTAAGTATTATCCTCTTTCTAATGTACTTTTTTTTCAACATCAAGATCAAGAAATAACCAAAAGTCATCAAAATGTCACCGTGAACTTTGTTGGCAGAACATGGATATTTTAAGTTATTTGTTCAAGATTGATCACTTAGTCACCATGGATCAAATGTAAAAAGCTAATTCTTCCTCATATACAAGTGCCCACTTTTTGGATGGTTGGCTGTGTGTAGACTAGATTTATGAACAATATTTCTAAAATAAACATCTTAAGGCCCAAGCAATGACATCAATCACACCTCAGAAGATGGCCTTGATTAACTCTTAGCTACAGAAATGTATTGCATTAACCATAATTTGCAAGGTAAATGCTTGTGAATAAGATTTTGAACTTTAGCAAAAGACTCACTAATGGTCCAGTCCTGTCAGAAGGAAGTGCTCGGGAAGTGAGAGTCTGGGCAGCCAGCTTGCCTGAGAACACTCAAGCGCCAACCCTCACCAGGTACTGCGGTCCCGGTGTGTCGCTGCTCACCTTCTCAGAGAGCCACTGCTGCGTTCCCAAGCCAACCATCCGCACGCGCTGCTCACGCTGTCTCATGCAAGTGCATGTAGGTGCGTGTAAGTATGTATGTCTATATTCCAGCTGCTGGCTGTCCTGACACCCAGCTATGCAACAGACAGGTTTCAAAGCACAGAGGCCATGTTAGTTTGCAGACACCCGTGGTGGCTCTAATGAAGCACAAATACCAGCTCATCAAGTCACTAAATTTAAAGGGATTGGGACCAGCCCTGGAGTGGTAACGGCATCTGGTCAGTCAGGAGGACGTTTCCTGGCCTTGTCCCCTGGGGAGGCACCGTGCACGGGGAGCAGAGGTCAGGAAATGCCTCTGTGTTGTCTACGTCGCTAGTCATGCCCAGTGTCCCTCATTAGCCTGGAATGTGCTAGAATGTGCTAGAGCAAAACGAGTGGAGCTTCTGGGTACATGCCGAGTGCACCTTCGCCAAGCCACCTCCTCCACAGCCCCCTCTGACACGCGGAGGGTTCTCACCTTGTGGTAAGCGCCGAGGCCGAGCAGCAGGTGTGGGTTCTGCCACTCGTCCCGCAAGGAGGAGGAGGACAGGTGGCTGAAGGGTCCCGGGGTGAGGCCGTCAGCCCGAGAGGGAGGCGCAGGCTGCAGCAGGGACTTAGCAGGAGGGTAGAGCTTAGTCTGATACAGAGGATGGAGCGAGACGCGCTGGGGAGGGACGGTCAGGCCCTGGGGAGGAGAGGAGAGAGCCACAGAGCCCGTGTTAGAGGAGGAAGCCGGGGTCAGGAGGGCGCAGAGCAGGCTCCGCTGACATCCCTCCGTCCTCTCCCCTGCCTCCTCTGCGGAGGAGGGGGAGGTGCTGTGTGCTCCCTGTGGACAAGAAGCTGCAGGGAGGGAAGGAGAGCCTCCCGGCCCGCCGGCCTCCCGGCCCCGCCGTGCACTCTATCTGGACTCTGAGCTTTTGTAGCATCAGGAGCAGAGCAGAGCCTTGGGGAAACACTGCGCCAGGGACCGAGCTAGTTGTTGTTTTATTGCCCAGTCGTCCGAGGGTTTTCTCCTTGGGGCTGGTTAGAATCCGCCATGAACATCCTCCTCATCGGAGGAGAACGTCGCCCCCCCCCGCCCCGTATTTGTCTTCTGGGATGTGAGTGGAATAAAGTTTGCCCTGAGCTCAGGCATCACTAGGTTTGTCTGTTTCTAGAAGCCCTCTGCCCTGGGCCATCCCGGGGCTTCCTGGCAGGAGCTGTGCTCCTGTCTGCGTGGTGGGCTGTAGGATGGGGGAGGGGGTGGGGGAGGGTCAGCACCAGACGCCGGGGTCTGCGGGCCTGCGTCACAAGCACCTGTGCCCCCCACCAACTCCCCTCCTCCAAGCCGAGGCCTTCCAGGACTGGCCACCGTATACCTACTGAGAACTGGGCGCGCGGTGGAGACCAGCACGCTGCTTAGCTACACCATCACACACCATCGCGGCCCCAAACACTCCCGCCCCGGCCGCACCCCCTCCTTTACACACACAGTGCAGGCTGTACATGACATGGCGGCTGTGCTTGACACGCTGTGCCTGACACGCTGTGCCTGACACGGCGGCTGTGCCTGACACGGCTGTGCCTGACACGCTGAGCCTGACACGGCTGTGCCTGACACGCTGTGCCTGACACGCTGAGCCTGACACGGCTGTGCCTGACACGCTGTGCCTGACACGGCGGCTGTGCCTGACACGCTGTGCCTGACACGCTGTGCCTGACACACTGTGCCTGACACGCTGTGCCTGACACGCTGAGCCTGACACGGCAGCTGTGCCTGACACGGCGGCTGTGCCTGACACACTGTGCCTGACACGCTGTGCCTGACACACTGTGCCTGACACGGCAGCTGTGCCTGACGCGGCTGTGCCTGACACGCTGTGCCTGACACGGCAGCTGTGCCTGACACGGCTGTGCCTGACACGGCTGTGCCTGACACGCTGTGCCTGACACGCTGTGCCTGACACGGCTGTGCCTGACACGGCTGTGCCTGACACGCTGTGCCTGACATGGCTGTGCCTGACACTGCGGCTGTGCCTGACACGCTGTGCCTGACACGCTGTGCCTGACACCGCGGCTGTGCCTGACACGCTGTGCCTGACACGCTGTGCCTGACACGGCTGTGCCTGACACGCTGTGCCTGACACGGCAGCTGTGCCTGACACGCTGTGCCTGACACGGTGGCTGTGCCTGACACGCTGTGCCTGACACGCTGTGCCTGACACGGCGGCTGTGCCTGACACACTGTGCCTGACACGCTGTGCATGACACGGCGGCTGTGCCTGACACGGCGGCTGTGCCTGACACGCTGTGCCTGACACGCTGTACATGACACGCTGTGCCTGACACACTGTGCCTGACACGGCAGCTGTGCCTGACACGCTGTGCCTGACACGCTGTGCCTGACACGGCGGCTGTGCCTGACACGGCTGTGCCTGACACGCTGTGCCTGACACGCTGTGCCTGACACGCTGTGCCTGACACGGCGGCTGTGCCTGACACGCTGTGCCTGACACGGCGGCTGTGCCTGACACACTGTGCCTGACACGCTGTGCCTGACACACTGTGCCTGACACGGCAGCTGTGCCTGACACGGCTGTGCCTGACACGCTGTGCCTGACACGGCAGCTGTGCCTGACACGGCTGTGCCTGACACGGCTGTGCCTGACACGCTGTGCCTGACACGCTGTGCCTGACACGGCTGTGCCTGACACGGCTGTGCCTGACACGCTGTGCCTGACATGGCTGTGCCTGACACTGCGGCTGTGCCTGACACGCTGTGCCTGACACGCTGTGCCTGACACCGCGGCTGTGCCTGACACGCTGTGCCTGACACGCTGTGCCTGACACGGCTGTGCCTGACACGCTGTGCCTGACACGGCAGCTGTGCCTGACACGCTGTGCCTGACACGGTGGCTGTGCCTGACACGCTGTGCCTGACACGCTGTGCCTGACACGGCAGCTGTGCCTGACACCGCGGCTGTACCCGGCAATTTTGAGAAGAAAAACTAACCATCGTTGGCAAGGAGCACATTTCCAAGGACTGTTTGACCGCCATCTCCTTCTGAAAGTCCTCAAACTCGATTTCGGTTATTTAACAGCCATGGCACAGCGGCTATGGAGACAAAAGCCGTTCTGTCCTTGCGTTCCCCAAACGAGCCCAGCCTGTCAGGGCGCAGGGCTCCGGCCGGGGCGTGGGTGTGGCTGCCGGAACCGGCGGCTCGCGTTGCTACTCCTGACTGACTCTGGTGACTTCCCTGCACCGTCTCTGTTGGATGTTGACAAACCATTTGCTACATAAACGTCTCTCCGCATTACCATGGTCTGTAACCACGATTATTTAATTTCAAAACACGAAAAACCCCTGCTGCTGCACCCGTGAGCTGAACCTGTTCAGAGTAGCTTCTGGCTGCTTTTTGTTTGGTTGGGCTTGCTTTGCTTCTCGCAAGTGGCATATTGGACTTTTTCCCTTCATATTTGCTAGGAAATTGTGTTTGGGGAATAATATGCATTTCTGTTACAACTGGAAATACAATTATATCTTTGAATTCACTTGCACAAAGGTTGTGAAAAACCAGTCTCATCTTTTTAATGTTCTTCATATTATGGCTGTTTCTAGGTTTATTGTGTATTTTATATTTTCTCCCTTTTATTAATATTTTCTTTAAAAGTTTACTATTTTGTGCATTTTTTCAAAGACTGTATTTCAAATTTATGATTGCTATAGATTTTGTTTCTAGCTGTCTTTCCTTAGTCCTTATGAATTCTTTCCTCTTACTTTTCATATATAAATGATAAAGATTTATCTCTAACTAGTACATTCTCTAAATTCTTATTGAATTTTCCAATTTGGATTCTTTGATAATGAATTTCCATTCTATTTTGCTCACTTATTAAACATACCTAGTTAAAATTTTGCTTCAAAAATGATGCTTTAACTATATCCAATGCCTTCTAATGGATAATAGTTTTATGAATAATGATTTCATTACCTTTTCCAAATAGAAAGTTTACTTTTGTCAAGTTGTAGCTCCTTGTCCATTTTAAAGTTTAAATGTTATTATAAGACAGCAGATAATTATTATAGAAAAAATCAAAATATATAAACAAGCTAAATAGACAACATTAAAAATGCCCTCAATTCTAAGAACCCCAAAACAATTCAAACACCTTTGTTTCGGGGCTGAGAAGCATCATTCTATCTAATGTTGAAATATATGACAAAGCTGTAGTAAACAAACCAGTGGTGTGGTGCATACACCCGGATATAGCAATAATGGAATGGAGTAGAGAACTACGACACGAGTCAATCCACTATGATGAGTCAGCTGACCTTCCCAAGGTCGCCAGGTCACAAGTAGGGGAGCAACAGCTCCTCTGTGATCACCACTGAGAAACGAGAGCAACCAGCAGGGGAAGGACACCAGGCCCTGATCTCACGCCACGCACAACCATTACCAAACAGATAAAAGCCTTAAACAGGAAACTCTAAAACTCTTGGAAAACTCTAAGACCAGCCAGACAACACAGAAAAAAAAGAGTTAAGATTTAGATACTGGCCTGCGCAAAGATCATAGACTACATTATAGGAAGTCCAGGGAGTGAAAGTGAAGGCGGCGAGCATACATCACAGATGCGCGGTCACTAAGGCAGGAGACAGTCCACCAGCTGCCCACAGAGGCCAGCCGAGCAACGGTCACTAGGACAGGAGACAGTCCACCAGCTGCCCACAGAGGCCAGCCGAGCAACGGTCACTAAGGCAGGAGACAGTCCACCAGCTGCTCCCAGAGGCCAGCCGAGCAACTGGGCTTCTTGATTTTGAACCTGGGGCATAATTTCTTGTTAATAAAGTCTTTCTATTGTTGATGTCATTTTTAAAAGAAATAAGCCAAACCTAAAAGAAATGGATCAATCCCTAACCACTTATAAGAAATAAGGCAAACTCAGAAATGGGGAGTCGCGGGCGGTGTCCAGGGGTTGGGGTGCGGAGGACAGAGGACGGAGGCCCAGGGAAACCAGGCCTCCCCGTCGTACAGTGCGTTCCGGCCACCGGCGCTGCGCTGTTCACCTGATACTCACTAGGAGAGCACATTGGAAGTGCCCCTGCCTACCCAACACGGTGTGTGTGGTTTGACCATTCTGGTTATGGTAATACCTATACCAACCGTGCATGCATCACGGCGTCGCACGGTGCTTCTTAAAAGTATGTCGTTTTTATTTATTGATGATACTCCAGTAAGGTGACAATATTTCAGAAATAACTATATTTTTTAAAATCAAGAATGCACACAAATGCATGGGTCCCATTAAAAATAGTGAGTAATGCGGGCACCGGTGCTCACACCTGTCATCCTAGCTACTCAGGAGGCTGAGGTCTGAGAATCGCCGCTGGAGGCCAGCCCGGGCAGGAAACTTTCGTCTGTGAAACTATGTATGATCTCTAATTAACCACCAAAATTAGAAAATAAAAAAGAACCAGAAACAGTGCTCCAGACCTCAATTCAAGCCCCAGGAATGGAACCAAGTACTTAAATAAGGAAGACTTAGAAAGGTCAATAAAATGGTGAATAGTTGCCTCAGTTTTCTAAAATGAAGCCGGTTCGAGGAGGCCAGGTTTCCCCAAACACACAGAGCCGCGTTCTCCCCGCCAGTTCCTGTCATCCTGTTTCTCTCTTTCCCAGGAGCAGAAAAGTCAAAGGCTGCAGT